TGTGTGTGTGTGTGTGTGTGTGTGTGTGTGTGTGTGTGTGTGTGTGTGTTGAAAACATTCAAGACAAAATTTACTTTAAATATACAATTCATGTAGCTAAGAAGCAGACTTTTGGGAGCTTGTTTTCAAAATTCTGACTCTGGAGTTTCTTTTCAAGGTGGTTTCTTGCTTTTACATTTCTGGCTCCAGGCAGGAGGTCATGTAACAAATCTGGGCTATTGAGTCTGTTCTGTTGACAGACTATGAAGAAATCTGTGGATGTGATGGCATTGCAAGTGAGCCTCTCCTGCTCTGAGATGTGCCCCGCAGTATCCTGGCTCTGTGTTTAAGAAGAGGGAGCAGAGTCGGCTCCTGGGTCTTGCCCACCTTGGAAAGGGGGTTTGTGGGAAAGGACGTGGGTCCTTAGGAAGTTTGTTCGGGTTTTTCAACATGAAAGGAATTTATGATCTGAAACAGACAGTTAGAGGAAATAATCTTTCAAACGATTCTCTTTCCTTCCTTATAGTCTTAAATATTTCTGACCAGGAGGAAGTGTTCAGGGAGCGGTACACTCTCTGTGTCTGGATGGTTAGGGAAGCCTTTCAAATGTGGAGGGACAAGAGGATGCTCACGGCGGCTGACGAGTGTAAGACCGTGTCTGGGGGTGGGAAGATGGCGGTCCTGGGGCGCTGGGTGTCGAGGGGCCAAAGGTCACCTGCTTGCTTTGGGGCCGTGGACGAAAGGGTGCTGTTACTATTCAGCCATGGAGTAGCCGAATGCCACGTTTTAATGGAAATATGGCACCGGTGTATTTTGCCTGCATTGAGTTTTTACTGTCACTTGGATATCTGTGCACACTGGCTGTGGACATTCATCATCTATGCTTTGCTGACTTGTTCTGTAAATATATCTCCTCGGGCCTCTGGGAGCATCTTGTGCATTAGCAGCTGACATCAGTCAGTAGACTTAATTTCTTAGCATGAATCAAAGGGTTTTTCTCAATGCCAGCAATATCATTGGAACAATGGCAAATCTAAGTGCCTCGTTTGCAGATATCTGGGTTAAGAACCTAAGCTTTTGGGGAAGGAAGGTGATAAGGAGCAACTGGGCCTCCTTCTCTTGCCCAAACACGGATGACTTATGTCAGGCAGAAGGGCTGGATCGAGCAGACGCATCTTCACGGAGCCTTTGCCGTGGGCTGGGCACGTGCTGGCCCCTGTCACTCATGTCCCAGCTCACCCACACATCACTCTTCCAGGTGGTATCAATCCCCGCTTTATAGACTCAAAACCAGTGAGGTGGAGAGATCTGAGAGGGAATCTACCGCACCAGCAGTTAGGAGGCAGGGTGCTTGGCTTTGAACCCAGTTTTGAACGATTCCAAAGCTTGTGTTTCCTCCCCAGTGAACCACGTGTCTGATTCCTCAGAGGAGACATCCCCTGCGTCACGCTTCCTGGTCTGCCCCTCCCAAGACAGGTGCTCTGTGATGTTCAGGACTGGGTTCATAGTGTGTGACTCTCCAGGATGTTTTAGTTCTGTCAGGTCCACAGGATTCCGTCTCTGCTTCAGCATGAGGTGAACAAAAACTTCGCTGGTGTGAAACACCCCGTGGAGTTGAAGGTCGTCGGCCCTAAAATCTAGCCCATGCTTTTATGGGCTCAGAAAGAGAGCAAGCATTGTATAAGCATGGCAGTAGCTAGTAATACTAATAAAAAGAAATATTGCTCAATTAACACTTCCTGGCTGATAGGCCACAGTGATCTGTGTCTCTCAGTGAACTGTGGTTTTATTTGGCATTTCATTTGTCTGTTCACTTGAAAAATTGATCCTGTGATATTTATCTGACATTGAATATATAGATTTGTCAGGTATGTGGCTTCTGGCTTAACCACCTCTCCCAGACAGATCGTGAAATCCTTAAGGGGCTGATATACATCCTTTACGGTGTCTAGGACAGTGTCTTATATGCAGTAGGTGCTTCATAAATTTTGTGGATTTGCTTCACATTACCTGTGACTAAGTTGCTTAAACCAAAGCATATGATCCTGGGGTAAAATGGTAATGACCTTGCGAAGCTGTAAGACAGCATATTGTTATGAACATTATTTAAAAATACATATTTTACTTCTGATGTTGGATCACAAGGGTTTCTGTTTCATTTTGTTAGGATTTTTTAATGGTAAACTATATACAGCATAAAACTTGCCATTTTGACTGTTTTTAAGTGTACTTTAAAAAATTCAATAGTGCCATTAAATTCAGGGACATTAGGTACATACTCAGTGTTGTACAAGCATCACCACAATCTATAGCCAAACTTTTTCATCTCCCAAACAGAACCTCTGTGGGCATTAAGCACTGTTTCCCCGTTTCCCCTCCTCCAGACCTGACTCTGCTGTCATTTATGCATTTAAAACAACCTCTGACCAAAGGAGCTATTTAGATGTAGGTATTAGGAGCAGATCCCACTCACCCCGGCCCAGGGAATTTCAGACAAGTGCATTTATTTTGTCATTATGTATGTCAGGGGCACAGAATTGGGTGAAATCAAAATCAAACACCAAAGTGGACCCGTGCTGTGACATTCCTTCATTCTCAGAATGCTTTAAATATGTTAATTACACAGTCAGGACAACTCTGCCGATATCTGACATTTTAATAATGTTTTCCTTCTTAAAAAATGGAATGTTACCGACATCAATTAACTAATTTGAAACTTTATGTGAACTTATAAAGATGACATGTGTACTTTCCCCCTTTACCTATTTCAAACTGTGTTCCTGACACACATTTTTAATTAAATTGGGTGCTTGAAAACTGTCTGCATTGAGGTAGACTGCAATTTCTCCAGTCCTTTTAGTGCCTGATTTGTTTGGATCCATTGATTGTAAGGCAGTTTATGTGCAAGCAGCACTTTTTAATTAAAGCTGCCTGCTAAGTTTGTAAAACAATGTGTAAAAATTTGGAAAAGATTCAGTCCCTTTCCAAAGGGCCGTGAAGATGAATCTGTGTTTAGGGCTGTCCAAGCCTGGCAGGAATTCCCATCTGCAGGCAGGTTTGTGCAGGAGTG